CAAAATAATCATGTGTTACTTTCTTCATGTAACGTTGTCTTGTATTTACTAATATTTTACTAAGTACTTTTTCACCAACACTTACAAAGAGCACTGGTCTAGAATTTTCATTCATTCATGAGTTTTCCCAGTGCCGGGCGTTGAGCCTAGGGCTTGCGCGTGCGTGGCAAGCACCCTACCACTGAGCTGTGCCTCTAGCAGTGGACTGTGCTGGCCTCGTGTGGGTAGCCCTATTACACTTGCTTTTGCCAGGATGAAGCAGTTTTTATTTTTGAATGCTCTGGAACAATCTGTGGTGCACGTGGGCTATTTGAAGTCCATACCTAGGTGGGCTTCCCTTGTGAAAACTTTGTGATTTCATGCTTATTTGTTTGATGTTTGTCTTGGTTACTTTTCTCTTGTTGCGAAGATGAAATACCTGATGCCTCAAATTAAGGGAGGAAAGGTTGTTTAGCTCACAGGTTGTGGAGGTTTCAGTCCCCAATAAGCTGGCTCTGAGGCAGGGTGGTGTGGCACCGGGGCCACCATTCATGGAGGGCAGCAAGAACAAGAGCAAAAGGGGCAAATGGGGCAAAAGGGAGGAGCAGGCCTCCTGCCCTCCTTTACGCTGTCAGAGCTGCCGGCCCCAGGGCGGGCGGAGCAGGCAATGAGCCAGTCCCAACTCTAGATTTAGCCTCCTCCGAAAAGCCTGCCCGACCTGACGGTGTGGGCTTTGGGGGAACAGCCAGACACACACCGGAGCAGTGGTTCTTTGACCACTTCCTTCTTCTGTGGAAGTAGGTCTCTTCCTATAAATCATATTTCCCTGACTTATTATCCCTTAGCTTTGGGATCCCTGGCCATCAGCTGGACACAGGATGGATACCCACCCAAAGGTTCGGTGTGTGTCCGGAGACTGACAGCATCTGGTAGGGGGTATGAAATGGGTGATGGCTGACGTCATAGGGCCTTCTGGGGAGAAGGGGTCCCCACGCTGGACCAGAAATGGCTTGAGAGCTCCAGGGTGCAGGGCTTTCACGAGATGGCTCTAGGGTAGGACCAGGGTGAGGGTCTCCACAGGGACTTCGCTGCTGCGGCCGAGAGCACCAGATGGAACCATCCACTTCGCCTGCTGCGAGAGGGAGAGGAGGCAGCGTTGGGGCTTGAGAGCGTGCGCTGCCAAGTAGCACAAGACGGAGTCGGCCTCTTCCCATTCCAGCTTATCTGCTCAGAGCTCTGCGAGTTGTCTGAGGATTAAAAATGTTCTTTTAATATTGCTTTTCTCATGTCAGCTTATATTTTGCATATTTGAGTTTTAATTCCTCATTTCCTTAGTTCATTAGTGAGTGGTTTGTCTGTTTTGTTAATTTTTTCTTTTTAAAAACCCATGTTTTAGGTTGTTACTTATAACTTATTTTTCTACATCCCACACAATTATTTTCTGCTTTTATCTTTTTTGGGGACCATTCTTTGGGTTTCTTTTTGTTTCCTTTGCTGGATTTTTTCTTAGCTTATGGAGCTGGGAATTTAATTTTTTAATTGTCATTCTTTGATTTTTATTGCAAAAGTGCCAAGGGCTATAGCTTTTCTTGACACTTAAAACAAATGTCCATTTGTTTTGATAGGTAGTGCTTTTGCTGTTATTTTTATATATTCACTTCTCCTTTTCTGCCCAAGTTATTTCAGAGAATTGAGCCTTTCCAAATCACTTTTTTTTTAGTTGTATCTCTTACAAATGGCATATAATTTGGACTCATTTTAGAATATGACTTGCAAATTGTTTTTGCGTGATTAATGGGTGGATTAGATGACATCAATAAATGTGGCTGGTGCATTTCACTTCAAGTCTGTCGTATTATAATTATATGTTCTTATGCATTTTCTGTGCCGTATAGATACTTTTCTTTGCTCTTTTGTTTTTGACATTTTTTTGACATTGAGGAAAATTTATACTTTTGTACTTAGATATTTTTAATATCTTTAGAAACTGCTGAAGCTCTTGCTATTTCCTTTGTCATCTTTTTCCTTTCCCCTTTCTTCTTTGGAAAGATACTAACACTTGGAGTCATTTCACCTGGCATCTGGACAGACGGAACCTCAGTCGTTGGAATCTTCTCTCTGAAATGCCAGCTGGTGGGGGGAGAATGTCTTGCTCCTTCGGCAGCACCGTGAAAGCTACCCGTTGCCCTAACGGTGTCCAGCCCTGACACAGCTGGATTCCGGTTCACACACTGCAAAACAGGCCTGGTACCGAACCCAGGACGAAGCCACGGTGATATTGTGCACCCATGGCTTACGCAGCTGCCTGCTGCACGCTGGGGCTGGGCTCGGCACTGTGCCTAGGCCACCATGTTCAATCTCAGTGACTCTGTGAGGTGCATATTTCTGCCTCATGTAAAAGTGAATAAAGTTAATAAATTTCATTATATGTAGAAAAGAGAATTAATTCCATTTCTGTCTAACTGCACAGGTCCTGATAGTCTATGCTTTTGTCTTTTTTTCATTATTGTTTTGTTAGTTTTTAATGTATTCTTTAACATTTACTTATTGCTTTTATTTATTTATTTATTTATTTATGTGTGTGTGTGTGTGTGTGCGTGTGGCCAGCTCAGCCCACCAGGGGGCGGGGCTGGCTGGCATGTGGTGCTGGGGGATTGAACCGCG